AAGTCTGAAACAGAAGAAAAATTTATGGTAACACCCACACAGTCTAAGCATGGCCCATGGTTACCTCTGCAGCAGGAGAAGCAGGAAGGGAAAGAGGTAACAAAAACACTACCTCTAGCCAGGTCACAGTGACATTTTTTTCCAGAACTACCACCGCCTCATTACACAGAGATGCACATACAAACATTGCCACCACTTCACACACTGCTTACTTTACCCCAAAGTATTTTGATTTCCACTCCTCTCYCAACCTACACTACAATTTTGCTAGGGTGAAGATCTGGCACACAATCTGTGATGCTAAAGGGACTGCGCCTCCCCAGTGGACACATGCTAAAGGACAAATATGTGAAAGAGCAATTTCTAGAGCAATRCATTCTTTACCACACTCCCTACCTTGCTATGAATACTCTGACAAAATCGTAGCTTCCTAGCACTTAATTCTCACCACACAGTCCTCATGAAGCTGCAAGTCAGCAACATTAACAGCAAGAAGGCAAATGCAGGAGAAGAGTTAGCCACAACAAGGTTTTGTACTCGCTCTGTGCGGCGAGATACCTTTTTAAATACGCAACACATACTAACTAGTTAGTAGGAGACAATGTACAACAACCAACCTCAAAGGTCAATGGAACTTTTAATGAAAAATCTTGCTTTGTCATGTTGCTCATCATCTCAATCCTTATCAACTCAAATAGTCACTGCAGTGCCAAACATTTAATTGACAGAGCAAGACCTGGAATTATTTGAGAACAAAATACCATACTTTCCCGCCCCTTATTTTTTGTGGGTATTTTTGCTTAAGAGTTTTTTTTAGCATCTAGAATAATGAAGAGAACTCACTATGGTATTTTAGAAGACAGTGGCAGGTTCAGAAGCTTCTGGTTTCATTTCAGATTGAAACAGCTGTGCTATATGGAAATGTATGGTTCTCCGAAAGAATTCTGRTTTTTCTTAGCTTGTTACTCTGCTTTGCTAAGCAATGTGTAATTACTGTGACAAGGTTTGTAGAAAGGTGATGGAAAAGACAGGCAACTCAAGACACAAAATTTAACTTTCAGATCCTTGAGAATACTGGTGTAAACAAGGAATCCATAGCTTGCCTTCATCCTCTTTTTAAGGAATAAGGTTAAACCAAGGGAGCTTTCATCTCCCCCATAAAAAAAGACTAAGTTTTGAAGGCCATGGTCAAAAGAAGCTATCCCATGCTCAACTGGCAGCCAAAATGCAAAATATTTTGAATGATAGAAACTACTGCAACCAATGACACTTGGTACCATTTGCCTCAATAAATTTCATAAAACATGTTTCCTGTTCATAGTCACTTTTCTGCCAAAAGGAAAACTAGTGTAGAGAAGACAAAAACACAGCAGAAAGGAAAATGGGAAAATCCTGGCATTTTTTTGCAGATATCTCTGTTTCCATAATGTCAGTCCAGTAACAACTATTCACAGACAACAGAAGCAGACAGATTACAACAGAAAACACACTGTTGCCCAATCTCAACTCCTCTCTTGACAGACTAGAAAACACTCTTTCCAGCCAAGAGAGCTCTGAAGAGAATACAGAATACAACAAAAAAAACAACGTGGCATTAGAAATGCAGTGACCCATCATCTATGAAGGGCCTTGAGTGCCCTTCACCATGCAATCCCATCCTGCCTGCTGTCAGCAGTTAGCCACTCACCTCAGAAGAGCGTAGGCAAATAATCTGCTTGAATTAATTCGTGTTTATGCGCTTGCTATCCACAGCACTTCAACGCGCAGATGTTCCAAAAGCAATGCACTTCTCAGAGGAARTTAGTGTTAATCCTAATTTAATTCTCCTGTGTCTAACATCCCAAAGTAAGACATCAAAAACACTTTAGAAAATGATGGCTTCAGAAAAATCTTGCAAACTATTATTTGTTCTTGCTTTCATTAAATGAGAGATTGCTTATCTTCAGGGATTTTGTGGGTTTGTTTTTTTTTTTAAGGTAAAGTTCATGCAACTGTAGGATGAAGTAATGACAGCAGAGGAGAAAAAAAGTGGTGTACCTTCTCTTCCACCCCTTCCTTCCCTGTTTTCCTCCAGGAATTAACTCTTTCAGTTCTACACTCTAATTTCTGAACATAAGAAGCTGACCTGCTATAGATAATAGCACTAAGTTTCCTTCACTGAGCTGGGTGGGACAAACCACTCTTTTTGGTAGAGCACAGAAATATTCACATCATTCTTCAGAAAAAGACATAAAACTCACGATGGAGCACAAATTGCAAACTGGCAGACTGGCCTACATAAAAAACAACACTGCATGAGAGACCTCTGAAATAATCTCTCTGTTGTAGCAGATCTGGCAAGGCATAAATCTGAGTATGACATCCTGCTTCAAGACAGATGTGACCAGCTGGCAAGAATACACAGGACAGCAATGAGAATGATCAGATGTCTGGAAACACATTCTGTTGGGGACGATGAAAGCCACAGGGGCTGTTTAGTCTAAAGAAGTCCAGGAGACAAGGTTGGAGTTGTCAAGTATGTCTTATACAATGTCACAGAAGAAGAAATAGTTCTACTGAAATACCACATGAAATAATAATGTTTATGGGAAAATCTGCATGTTTTCTAACTACCCATTTATTTAGTTTGGAAACACTTTATATGTCATGGCTTTGAAGAATTTACTGACAGTTAAAGTAGAAATAGAGGTAGCAGGACAATCTGTTTCACGGCTGTCTGAAGGATACTGAACAGCTGTGACAACAGATTCAATTCTGCTATGCTGGCAACAGGAACAAGGACAGGACAAGAGGAGAAATGAAACCTGCAAGCGCAGGATCAAGCACTGGGGATACATATAACTAAAAGAACTCAGTAACAGAACATCACAGAGAACATCAACATTTTCATTCTTTGACAGTAATTAAAATAGGATGTCAGTGTGAAAACAGTATCTTCAAGCAGTGTGATACTTTCAGCAGGTGGCACATGAAAAAAGCCTAAAATCATCTCTACATACATCTTGGACTTCAGCCTTGCCTTTGTCCACATAAAGATTTCCATGTGAAGAGATGCTCTGTTTTAAATTAACATACATTCATTTACCTCTGCACTCTAACACAGTGTGGTGTCCTTGCACAAAAAAAAAAAAAAAAATATTATACAGGTGGATTTGCCAGGTAGTTCTGCAGGTAGACAGAAATTCAGCTGCAAGCACTGACTACACCAAAACTGAAGGATTGGTAAAATCAAAGCACAAAAAAAGGCACAAGTAAGGTCTGGTATCAGGTAATAAGGGAATCTAGCAAAAGGGAATAAAGGGGACAGAATAAGGCTGCATATTCTAAGCAAACTAACTTCCACAACACTAACATGAGTTTATGCTGCTATCTTGTGACACTACTAACTGAGAGTRAGGTATCAGACTGCCCAGAATTTCAAAATTCCATGAATGCAACGTTGAGTTATTTTTGAGGTTACCTTCTCTATACTGTCAGCGCGAAAGATGCCAGTAATTCATCCCCAAAGCACACACAGAAATAACAAGCCTTTACCAGAAGTTCACTGGTCTGCCAGCAGCTCTGAGTTCAGCTAACTGAACAGACAGACTTTTATATTTCTACACAGCATTATGCAGGCTTACCAACTGAGCACTAAACCACCTAGACACCACATAATTGTGGTAAGCACAGCCCCAAGCCCACACATACCATTCCTGCCGAGAAGAAGGATATATTAATCACCTAGCAGTGCACTTCATCCTAACAGCAGCTATGGAGGTCCTATTCAGTTCAATGAAAAAAGCAAGCCTATATATATATATATATATACACTTAAATGATGTGGATATACACATATTCTATCATAAATGCATTTCACCGCAAAATACACAGCACTCTTCGTGGTCTCATGCAGTTGAAAGAAGCAAGGAATCTGGTCTGAATTTGAAAATTTAAGAAAAAAAAAAAAAAACAAAGGGGAGGGGCCGGAACAGAAAGGTATATTCAGTTCCAATTCATCATGCTGACCTACAATTGTATCAATTTAACAGGAGGCATCGGGAACTGAGGGGAAAACAGGAGCTACATAAACAGCCATTACGGCAGGGGGAAACATTCCTGACAACCACAGCTTAACTAGTTGAAAATAACTTCAACCAGCTTAACAGATACTCCTCCAGAAATACAAGGTTTCTCAGAAGAGYCTTTACACATCCCGCTGCATAAATGCACAGGATAAAGAAACATCACCTAAGAACAAATTAGAAAGTTGACCACAAAGAAAGATGTAAGTAAGGCACACAAGAGATGATGTACCGAAGTAAAGTAAAGCAGCAGTCAAACAGAACAATGCACTTGGTTGGGGGTCATGGCTTGAAATATATGTAAGGAGTGTGAATCATGCAACAAGAAATAAATAGAATAATTTCTAAAAATCCGTCTCAACAGGATTGTTTTACYGTAATATAGTGATGAGGTTGTTTTGTTTTAAGAGTGCCGTTAGAAGCTAGTGTAGCTGGATCAGGAGAAGAGGAAAAGGAACAACACGCGTATCCGCGTATCACGCTATGGATCTCTCACCCACAGAGCTCCTCCATGATCCTCAGCCTGTCATGAGCTCTCACAAGAGGATTACTGTAGTTTAGATGGGGCTTGCCCATCACTTCCTTTGGACACTAAAGAGTTTTCTTTGAAGCAACGCTATCCAAAGGTGACACGTTCGGGTGGGGGGGGGGAGGACACGACGACCCACCACAAAAGCTAACAAGCTTTCCTAAAACAAACAAAAAAAAAAAAATCCTTCTCCATGCAAAAACCCCCAACTCTCAATTACCGGCAGCCAGAAAGGCTAGAGCCGGCAGAGCAGAAACTAGAACGCCCCGGGTTTAGGCGGGCACAGTGGCGGGAAGGGGCTGTCCCCAGGTGGGCACGAAGCCGCTGTCCGCCGCGGGGTCACCTCCGCCTCGCAGCCCGGGACGGCCGCGCTCCGCGGCTCCCGGCGCCGCCCCGGCCCCGCGCACCTCCTCATCCCGCTCCTCCAGAGAGGCGTCGTCCTCCGCCCGCCCGCCGGGGATCGCCCGCTCCGCYGCAGCCGTCTCCCCACCGGGGGCCGTCGCCGCCCCGCCGCCGCCGGGCTCTCCCTCCTCGGAGAGAGTTTCCGAGCCGGAGGAGGAGCCGGAGCAAGAGGAGCCGACGTGGCCGGCGCCCCGCGCCCGCTCCGAAGCCGCCGAAACTTTCTCCGCCATGGCCGGAGGCTCAGAGCCTTGCCGCCCGCATGCCCCGCCGCCGGCAGCCGCGCTCCCTCGGCCCGCAGAGCGCAGCGCGGGCGCGGCAGCGGCGCTCCCGGGCCGGGCCGGGCCAGGCACCGCGCTCCGGGCGGCGGGCGGTGCCTGCGGGCGGGCGGGGCGGGCCGGGCCGGGCCGGGCGGAGTCAGCGGCGCGGGGGGCGGGCCCGGCGCGGCGGAGCTCGGCCCGAGGGCGGCAGGTAGCGGGGCTGGGTCTGCCCGGCGAGGGAGGGGAGCTAGCCTCGCTGCAGAAGGAGGCGGGAGGTAGGGGAAACGCGCGGCGTTCCGCGCCTGGAGGCAGCCGTACAGCCCGGTCCCGCCGCGGCAGCCCGRTGCGGAGAGGGCAGCGGGGTCTGCCGGAGCCCGAGAGCTGCCGGCATCGACTCGGCGGGGGCACAGCGAGCCACGCTCCGCTCCCCTCTGCTCCCGGGCGATGTCACCGGTTTAAGTAATAGCAGCTGTTTTAAATTGCATTAGGGTCTTCAACTCCCCTCACTTCCCCTAAAACGGAGCTACCAGCCGTTTATGGCGGCAATTTTGCCGTCGTGCAAACCTTTTGCAGAAAAGTGCGGACGCCCAGCTGTGGTCTTGCAGCAAACAAAAGTCTCTTTGAGTGTTTGTCTTCGAAACGGACATTGCTATTGGGATTTGTGACCACGCTTTCAGTCGTTGAAACCAAAGCAGATCACAGAAATTGGGCACCTGAAGGGCTTTGCAAATCTTCGTGGACAACTCCTTTATCTTTTAGGACCTAAATGGCTTTTAAACCATTTTTTCTGTCAATTTTTAAAATATTTTTAATATTTTATTTTGGAAAAAATGTCTTATTTTTTCAGTCCTGAGGACATAGGTCCTCATCTAATGTGCTAACACTATATATAAGTATATAATAATAAATACCAGAACATTGTTTCCTTATGTCTGGACCCCAGATTAATCTGATCGTGAAATCAAARCAGACTAAGAGTTTTGTAATGAAGGAAGTCCCACAGCATCACTTCAGAATAGCTGTCTTCTCCATTTCACAGGAAGAGAAGTGTGAGCACAGACCAGTTATTAATTTGCTCTAGTTAAAACAGTACATAGCTGATGAAAATAGGAACCAGAATGCAAGTCTCCATTTGTTCAGATCTCTAATCTGACCAGTATACCCAGTATTCACTGATGATACATGAAAAGAAAAACCCCAAACATTTTTGTTGTTGATTTTGTTGTTGTTGCTGTTATTATTGTTACAACTATATGGATTATCAGATTAACAGTGGAAGAAAAAACGCTTGCATAAAATTCTTCAAATTTCAATCCTTCTCTGTTTAGAAAGAGCTTTTGATGCTGCATATTAAGATGTAACAATGCTGATAGCTCTTTGTGGTTTCTTATCAGTATTTAGATCAGACCTTTAAAAGCTAATTTATTGTGGAAGAGGATAAGTGTCACTAAGGACAGAATTTGACCCAGAAGTTTGCCTATACCAGCATTTAATGATAAGAAAATATGAGATATACACATGAAGACAAAAACTGATTTTTGCTAAATGAATTACACACATAGACTAGTCCAAACCTAACTAATAATTTTAACTAACCAGTTCATTTTTAGTACTGCAGGTTCTGCACATAAGTTGTCATATCTCCAAAACCTGGGCTTACTCATAATTCTTGAGTCCTTGATTTTTAAAGCTAAACCTTTTTCTATCAGAATCTGCCTCTGGTTTAGTGTCATTCTCATAGCAGAACAACTTGCTTAATTTCCTAYCTATTCTTTGCAATGTATAAGAAAATTGCCAGGTGGTGAAAAGCAACGCTGCAGGTCTTTGTCAGTTCTTTCTCTTGCTGCCAGAGATGAGACTGGAAAAAATAGAGCTTAGCCAAAGCACTTCTACACTTCAGTTATTATCAGCTGCCAGAACAGCCCCTGTAATCTGGGGGCAGCAAGGAATACATTAAAATAGTCACTGAACTGCTCTAATTTATGCCATAAATTGAAATCTAAGAAGGCACTCAAAATTTATTATATCACCCCAGAGTTACAGAAGACAAGTGACAGTATTGTTCTGCTCTGGCCTATAGAATATGCCAGATCACGTGCTCTGCTAACATTATCTTACACGAACAGAAGAGGGATGCTATGTTGCCTATAGTTGCTAAAAGGGAGCTAAAGCTAAAAGAAGCAAAGATAGAAGCTTACATTATTTTCCATCCTGAGAAAAATGCTGTTCCTTGCACTTCACCATCACGAATCAGTGAGATACTTGGTGGCAAAACACTAAATATCTGGTACAACTTGAAAAGCTCATTTTGAAAACATTTGTTGAGAAGATGTCCATATTTAATAGGCTTTGAGCATTGGCTTCATTTTGTGGRGGATATGGAGAGATGGGTGTAGAGTGGTCTGATATCAGCTGTTRCAGGTGGCCGGCTCAGTTTTGGATATGATCACCCATTTACACATTTTTTTTCCATGGGTCAACTAACTGAAAACAAAATACAAGAAAAGAAATAAAATGTGTCTCAAAATTCCCTGATTATATACCCATTTGTTAAGGCTTGGGAAATTTTTGTGCTCAGTGTAGTCTTGAAGGACTGAAAGGATGACAGGCTAACAGATTTATTGACAAGTTTGGCACAGGATATCAAGATACAGGGGAAACACTGGAAAAAAATCATAAAGAGGTATAGAAAAAAATTGTCAGCAAATCATAGCTATGCATGAGACAGCATGGAAAGAGAAATAAGATAATGATTGGCTTTGTAATTGGTCCTTCAAAGTAAAGATCTCCAGAAATTATAGTGGGGAATCAAAGGATAGATACATTGTAAAAGTGACAGGCAAAAAAAAAAAAGTAAACACTGCAGCAGTGTATTGGATAAACCAGGGTAGTCAGAGAGAAAGACTGCAAAGCTTATGAGCAAATTTTGAAAGGTGGGACAATGGTTTCAGCATGGCAAATATATGTCCCATAGTACAGCTTTAATCAGTCAAATACAAAGGGTAGAGCTTCACAGTAGCTACTGCATTAGTTTCATTACATCAGTTGTCTTCAAATAATTGCCTTTTTTGGGTAGACAGTGTTCCATCGAATTCTTTTTTATCTGCCTYGAATACTCTTGTTCCTCTTTGATTCTGAATATTTAGGCAGAAGTCTACCTCCACAAGAAACAGTTTTCAAAATACACTGACAGTGGGGTGAGCACCTGAGAAAATCCCTAGGCAAGACTGACTGATCTGGCAAACGCTGTGCTCTCCAAATAAGACAGTTACACTATCAGCAACAACAGCGCTGTGCTTCCCTTTCTGCATAGTAAGTGTGCATTAAACCTGACCTGGAAGAACCRCTTCTTTGGATGAATAAACCTCCATGCTTACTCAGTTCTTGCCCTCCCTGTTGAGTCTGCCAGCAGCATTGCCAATTAGTGCCAATCCTGAATGCAGATTGTAATATGAATAGGCCTTTCAATATTTAATTCTGGACTTTTGCACTGGTGGTGTATAAATGTTTCATCAGTGCACTTCCTTCTGTGAGGGAAGGTTTATTCATTCATACTTCTGCTATTTTTCCTCTGAAAAAGAAGCAAAACTGTCTACCTGAAGTACTAGCAGAATATGGGCAAATAGTTAAGTGCTCCTCCCAGCTCTAGCMGTAAACTCTGGAATCAGAGCTCTTTTTCTTGGGGATCCTGATTTCTTGMGAATACATGTTATGGGGTCAGATGACACTCAGTTTTTATGTGATGTGTTTTATCACTACATATTCACTCTCAAGCAGTATCCAAGATCAGGAATTCAAAAATTTCATTTGGTGAGGTACAGTCCACTGATGTTAGTGGCAGGAATATTTACCAGCACCAACTGCAGTGGTAGGCTGGAAAAGAATAAAAACAGGCATAAGAACAACTCTCTTCTCTGGGCTGGGGCAGGTACCACCAAACATACAGCATAGTTTGGGGATCCTTTCTTTTTGTCTCTGAAAGTCTCCTTAGAACTTAGGATACTTCAAAGTCAGCAGAACCCACTTCATACCTTCCTAAGAGAATCAGTTCTGAGACTCTCCCTCTTACCATTAAAAATCTTTTTTGACAATGAATGTGAGGCACAATTTACTTTCCATAGCACTTGCAGAGCATGAAGCAAGGACATTTGAACATGCTGATTAGATTCAGATCATCTCAAAAGGCATTAATAAGCTAGTCATGTTACATTGTAAATCCTAGCAACAATAGGCATATGCATGAACAGAAATATCGCATTCAAATCTGTGGAACGTGTAATAAAACTGAGAAAAATAAAACATTTCATCTATTAATTGAATATGATAGTAGATGTAAAATGTCTTTGCCAAGGGAGTAAACACAACTAGTCTAGTCCTCCACCTGCTGCAGGTGCCTTTATCAAGGCCAGGYAGTGCCACCATCTTGACAGCTAGAGATGATGCGATCTGGACTAAGCGGTGTAATTGCTGAAGACACTTTCCCCTGATTACTGACACRCAAGGACCTGCATGAGCACTGCATGAATCACTGTCAGGAGACTTGCAGAAAATCACACTTAGACAAAACCACTGGCAAATGTTTACACTYTGACATTTACATTTCTGATAATTTCAGTATTCAAAAAAAAAGTAAAGAAATGCTGCTCAACACAGCAKACATCACAGAGCATTGGGAGGCTGTACAGGAAGATGGAGAAATAATGCGGTGATCCCCTTGTCAGACCTCCCTCAAGGTATTGCTGWGGGGTTATACCACTATGACTAAGCATCAGAAGCCTCCCTTCAGTTTCTTGCAGATTCAGGGATATTGTGAGTCTGCATGCTGGAAGGGACAAATAGAAGCTAAACTGTTTTAATCTGACTTCAGATACAAAAGTGTACTGCCAGCACATTGTGWGGAGTTTCTGCACAAGTCTACTGGCAGAGGCACTTGGTTTTTTGATGGATAACCCTTGAGTAAGGAGCCTTCCACAATTTCTCCCTCACCTTCACAACATGTGTCTATCAGGGATATATAGTGACATGCCAGCAGCAGGGAAGAGCAGCAAGAACAGGCACAACCAGCTGCCATACAACAGGAAGGTTACTCATTCTAAGAACTTTTTCCCCAAATTCTGCTTTAATCAAGGTCAATGCTATGACTCTCATAAAATTATGGGAAAACAATAGCTTCCCATATTGTCAAAAAGATTATCACTCCTGCTTCAGAGTGCCGTAACTAAAGAAGCAGAAAGATGGTAATTTCTCACTTTATCATGGCAGTATCCTAGAGCCCAGTAATGGGCATTATGAAGACCGGTCTTACAAAGAAGAGATAGGCAGGAAGTAATGGTCTAGATTCAAGATGGAAATTGGAGATAACCAGAACTCCAGCTGTAGAGTAAGAAGAGGAGAGGAGCTCTGAGGCCTGCACTGGGGTTGTGTTGCCAGCCTCATGGTCTGGCTGAGACAGCTACRGACTGCTAAATATAATCTAAACTAATGCTGTATCCTGTGGTGTAGTCTGATCATTATTTCTAGTAATCCCAGACAATGTTGTATTCTTTAGCTCAACAGGTGTAAATCTAATTCACACCTGCATCTTCAGAAATGCTGCATTTTTCCAGGCTTCACAGGATAGTGCACTTTCCTGGATAAGTTTAGATGCCCTTAACTCTACACAGCATTCCTTCCTTGGATATGGTTGACAGTGTTATTATGGACTGCAAACTTTGTAATTGGTTTGTAACTGGAAGAAATCCTTCCCAGCGTTATCCAGAATCTCTTTGAAAAACATGAAAATGGAAAGCAAATATGGGATCCAGTGATTGTCCTGAATCGTCAAACTCTCCAAAGCTCCATAGCAACAACTGAGGTAAAAGCAGGTTTGAGGCAGCCCACGAGGTTTCTGTAAGCTCTGCCTGCCCTCATCCCAGGCCTCACAGTTCCTAAATAGAGCAGGAACAGTGTTTGAGGAAAAGCTGTGATTTTTTCTGAGAAATCAGCTATTGTGTGGGAGCACTAAAAATGGTACTACAGAATTTAAATGGTATTGTTTGTGCAGACAGTCTTATTCACAGAATGAGCAAAAGCTAAGTCTTCGTTGTTCAAGTAAATAGGATTAATATTCAGAGTTTTAATCTTTTCTGACCTCTCTCCCATTAAACTAGAATAGTCTTCCAAACCAAAAATGCCATGACTCTTAAGCTAGGAAGACATCACATGCTTAGCAAGATGAATACAATTTTTAGCATAAATTCCTCATGTGTAAATTAAAATATTCAAAAGCCAATTTTTTACTTGCTCTGTCTACCACAATTATGGAAAAAAAAAAAAAGCTTTGTAGGCTTTTTTTTTTTTTCTTTCCAAATTATTGCTTTCTGGTTTTATTTTAACTTGCAAGATTTTAATGGCAAAAAATTACCTCTTTTGCAGCCTACCTCCCATTTTTATAGTAAAATATTATAGGGATTTAGCTTTCTTTATTCTCTTACTCTTACTTTTCTGTTGACTAGAACTGTGTCCCACCATGTCTCAAAACTGAGTTCTGTATTTCCAGTGGGAGTCTGAAAAGGGAAGGAATTGTTTCAGTAATCATCCTCACTATGATATAAGATACATGTAAGCGGAAGGCCTGCTAAAGGTTACTGAATTTTCTGTTTAATTTGTTTGTACTAGGAGCTTGTTCCTATTGAGAGGCATGCATAGCCTTCAGATCTTACATACTTTTGCCTGGGCTTTATGCATGGCTTAGATTCTACATAAATTCTTCCTATTTCATCTGTAGGCTGGTAGACTAATTAAATCAACAATACCATTCTCTGTCCATTGGTATACTTTGCTGAAACACTACCTCAAGCATAGGTTTTTCAACTTTTATTCTGTGTTGTATTTGTTTGATTGGCAGTTTCATCCTAGGACACTTAAGTCTAAAAATAAATACAGCAGTGTTTTGGAGGCTGAAGTTGACAAATCCATATTCTTGGATTCATTTACTGCCAAAATTTAARTGCTATTTATGCCAGTAACTGCAAGTTTAAAATAAAAAACGTGACTGACAGGGATGTAGGAAATTCTCAACTTATCAAACCTTGCATATTTAAAATTCAAACATGTCTCATGTTGCAGATTAGAAGTAGTGGTCGACACTTATAAAAGTAAATGCCTGAAGTCAGATTCCTAAACACATACAAAGAGTGCTTAAAAGCCACTTAAAAATCTGAAACAAGGTTAATTTTATGTAGGACGCTAATTTGAGGCAGCTAGCTGTGAAAATAATAGGCATTGTTGCTCAGTTGGCCTTGGCTTCCTCTCCAAGGAGATTCTTCTGGGTTCTGCAAACCCACGCAGACTGCCATATGTACTAAGGAAACAAGTTTTTCTCTCAGGCAATGATGAGTAAGTACTTCAAAACGTGGAAAAAAAATTCTGATGATGATGATAGTAATAATAATTACAAATATATTTTGAAAATTATAAGGTCTTTTTAAGTAAGCCAAGATTTTTATGTATGAATGCAATTTCTACAGTTGATTTAATAATTCAGCAGTTTTGATGTCAACAACACAGATCAAATTTGCACCTTCTCAATGTTACTCTCTGTTTTCAAAGCAACTTTCTCTAAATATTTGGGTCTGTGCTTAGAATTAGGTTTGAATATCCGACATTTCATCTTTCTAACCTGTATATGACAATAATGTAATAAATTTGAAATTTTAAGCAAACTTGTCTTCCTTTATTAAGTGTAGAAAGATTATGCCTCTCAAGTGACATTTTTCTCTTTTGTAACTAATAAGTATTATAGTAGAAAGAGTGATTCACAGACCACAGAGATAAGATAGAAGTATTCAGACCAAAAAATATAATCATATACATTAACAGAAAAGATGCCTGTATGAATCACTGTTCTAGCCTGAGCTTTGCCAACAAACATTTTAAGAAATGTATCAGAATTAGGGACATGTATTGTGATCTAYTCTTAGTAATGGTGTTGCACAATACTTTTATTATCACAAGAGTCTGCCTAGGCTGCTTCTAATTTTTCAAAATTGCATTCATTCAAACTGAAGTTTTCTATAGTAAGAATCTAGCTAAGATTGTGGTCAACCATGTGTGGGGGTTTTTTGTTTTCATCATCAGGCTATTTTATTTTGCGGGGGCCAGGTGTATTTTTTGCTTTTTTTGAATTTTCAACCAAAATAATCCAGCCAATTGAAAAAATACATCAGAGGAAATGCACTGTCTAATCACTCTTAAAATTCTCACAATGATTCAATACACAGCAACTGTGTTTTTATGCTTCAGAACGAGTGATAAAGTCTGGTGGGAGGAGCACCTTCCTGTCAGGAATGTGATTTTACCATCCTTATGAGAATGCAGCCTAATTTCATCA